TCCAGACACCCATCATCTTTTTTTTCACTCTTTCTCTTTTCTCTACTCTCACCTTCCTTAATCCCATTCTCCTAAAAGCTCCTCCCATCCAAATTAATCCATATAAAATACAGATCTGACGATGTCACTTTCTACTCTATATAGAAGAACTAGACTTCCTTGGAGACAATTTTTTACTTATATTTACTATGTAAGATGTAGAGTTTTGTTTGAAAGTCTTTTGATCAATAGAAAAGGTCCAGCTTACCTGATATATTTCACAAATATCTCTAAGTACCCCCCAGCCTTGTCTCTGGCCATACCAGGTGTGGAATATTCTCCTGGAAATTTGGCTTCCACCAGCCAAAAGTTGCTAGAGTTCACTGTACACAGTATTTGATATCTTTCCATTGTGTCTTGATTTGTTCTAGCCCATTCCTCTGGAGTACCTTCTTTGTCGTTCAGTGGTATCGAGCCCTATGCTTGGCTTGGCTATCTCTTAGTCATTTATTAACTCTTAGCCCAGCCTCATTTCAAGAAGTTTTCCCTGACCCTCCTCACCAGGCTATGATATATACATTCTAATTCAGTATCTGCATAGTGCTCTGCCATGCCTTTTTAATAATCTTCTCATAATTGTATTAAATTTATTATATGACAGATTTTCTCATTTGCTTATGAGTAGATTCACTGTATACACAGAACACAATACACTGTATGCCTTTCAAACATGTCCAATAAATATTTATTGAACCAAGTTCTAGCAATACTAAACTCTTCACTCTTTCATGATCATTACCTAAACTCTTGTCCTCGAGGCTTTGGCTCAGACATTCCCTTTGACGTCTCATCTCTTTACCACCAGGGTGCTCAGCTCAGCCCTTAGAGCTCCCGCTGCAACTGCAGGCTTTATTCTCTATCCTACGGCCACCCACACTTTTCACCTGCTCTATGATAGTACTTTCTGCTGTATGACAAAATTAGGGTTTAGTGTATGTGCCTTTCAATTCGGGGTATGCATTTTTTACATCAGGACCATGTTTTAATCAACCCCTGATCCACACGGCTAAGAAAAATGCCAGAAATACATTAAATATGTGGTCAGTGAAGGGTGAGTACACTGGCAAGATGGCTTTGACAAAAAAAAAAATGGATTAAAGATTAAGTAGCAGAAAACTCCTAGAATCAATTCTGGTATTAATTCTAATAATTTTAAGAAGAGAAAATATTACAATTCCTATTTGGCTATCAGTTGAAGTTATTTTCTTTGAAGTAAAATTTAAAGTGTGAACAGAAATTTAACTTCACTGTTTTTCCAATTTTACTATGAATAATAGGTATTAGCATTAATGATAAATGCGTAGCACAGATTGTATCAGACTAGATGACTCAAAATTGCATTTTTTACATGACTTTGCCAGTGTTATCCACAAATTTTTATGTATAACCTAAAAATTATTTACTAAATCTCTTATTTTAGTTGCAAAACATTGCTTTGGGATCCTAACGCCACAATTTCTTACGGCATTTTTCATCATTAAGATATTGGCTTGACCAATTCAAAGTGTGATATAGGGAAAGCTTGGCTTTGATATACCCAGTCATCCCATATTGCACTTGTGCTTTCCTCAGATGGCTTATGAGTCAAGTAACATGACGGCATTATGTCATTCTTTTCAAATTTATTTATTCATTTATTTATTTAGATTGAGAGATGAAATTATTTGTATTTATCATTTACACTGTGGTGCCTTGATACACTGTGGAATGGTTAAATATAGCTAGTTAACCTATGTATCACCTCACATAATTATCATTTTTATGGTGAGAACACTTAGAATTCACTCTTCCAGCATCTGTCAAGAGTACAATATATGATCACTAACTATAGTCACCATGCTATACCATAGATTTTTTGAGATTATTCCAATTATTTTATCCTTTGACCAGCATTTCCCCAACTCCCACTCCTCTCAACTGCCCCAGCTTCTCATAACCACTATTCTACTTACTAGCTCTATCAGATCAACTTTTTAGATTCCTCATTATAAGTGAGATCATGCAGTATTTTTCTTTCTTTGCCTGACTTATTTCACTTAATGTCCTCCAGGTTCATCCATGTTGTCACAAATGACAGGATTTCTTTCTTTTTTTGTGGCTAAATAGTATTCCACTGTGTATCTATACCACATTTCCTTTATCCATTCATCTGTTGATGGACACTTTGGTTAATTCCACATTTTTGCTATTATGAATAATGCTACAATAAACACTGGGAGGGCAGATAGCTATTTGACATATTGATTTTATTTCCTTTGGATGTATAACCAGTAGTGAGATTGCTGAATCATATGGTAGTTGTATTTTTAATTTTTTGAGTAGCCTCCGTACAGTTTTCCATAATGGCTGTCCTAATTTACATTCCCACCAACCATGCAAAAGTGTTCCCTTTTCTTCGCATCCTCACCAACACTACTTATCCTTTACCTTTTTGACAATAGTAATTCTAACTGGACTGAATTGATATCTCCTTGTGGTTTTAATGTGCATTTCCCTGCTGATTAGTGATGTTGAGCATTTTTTCATGTACCTGTTGTCCATTTGTATGTCTTCTTTTGAGAAATTCAGCTCCTTGCTCGTTTTTTAATTGGATTATCATTTTTTTCATCATTATGTTGTTTGAGTTTCTTATATATTTTAGATATTAACCCCTTATCAAATGTATAGTTTGCAAATATTTTCTCCCATTCTGTAAGTTGTCTCTTCACTCTATTGATTATTTTCTTTGCTGAGCAGAAGATTTTTAGTTTGTTATAATCCCATTTGTTTGTTTTTGCTTTTGTTGTCCCTGCTTTTGAGGTCATATCCAAAAAATAATTTTGTCATTTTTAACATAAATCTATTTCAGTTACAAAATTCTCACTGCATATGCCTTAAGTGGAATAGTCCTATTTTTCTCCATTATTTATTTTGTCCCTGCTTTTGAGGTCATATCCAAAAAATAATTTTGTCATTTTTAACATAAATCTATTTCAATTACAAAATTCTCACTGCATATGCCTTAAGTGGAATAGTCCTATTTTTCTCCATTATTTATTATTTTAGTATTCACTAAGCTGTTGCAGCTTTCTTAATCAGACACCAAAAATTGCAGGATACCAGCTAAAGAAGTAAAGACCAAGTAACATGGCTGCATTATGGGGACACCAATTCTTTTTTAAAACCAAAAACAATATTATTCATTTTGTTGACCTCCAGTATCTCTTTAAATAAACAATGCAAGTTCAAGATAATAAACTCCTAGTCTTTGTGTTTCTTAGAAGTTTATTTTTATTTATTTATTTTTACTTTTTATTTTTTAAATTTTAATTTATCAATATACAATGCAGTTGATTTTCATGTCCCTTTACCAATACCTCTTTCCAACCTCCCCCTCCCACTACCCCCATCAACATCATATCTGTTCACTTGTCTTAACAAGTTCAAGGAATTGTTGCAGTTTATTTTGACAATTGCCTATGATATTTCTATATTTCTTTTCCTCCTAAGAATGGATCTTTTCATTTTTTCCTCTCCTACACCATATTGTTATATCATTTTTAGTATTCTTATTAGGTATTGACTAATTATAATTAGTTTAGTGTATAATAAAGTCAAAATATGTATTATTTATCTTAAAGAAGCATTCACTGATAATCTGATTCCAGAGTTAAATTATATGAATTATGTAACTCTCGTGGCATAAATTGTTATGATTCTTAAAGATCCACGTTTAAAAATGTTAACCTACTTTCATTAGTCAGTATGACAAACTAGGGAGAAAGCTAGCCTGGCTGAGATCTAAGAAAATCCACAATTTTCAGGACTACTACCCAATTATTTTGGGGGTACCACTCAGGGCATTTATCTATGTATATGCACACTATGTTTATGTTTAATGATAAAAAATTCAGAGATGCCTAGTAGTAGAATAAATTACAGTGAAAAATTTATTTCCTCCATGCGTATTTTATCTTTCAATCTTATCATAAACTGGGCTTTCAATTTTTAAGTCTTTTGTTACAGTTCAAATAAAACAGATTTTCTTAAGAGAAGTAGCAGAAATGAACACTTGATGCTTCTGATGGCTATAAGTGATACTATTATGCAAAGTTTAAAAGAAATGGTCATTAAGCATAAAGCTGGAAATAATTCAATGTGTCTTCCCTATTCATCTGTTTGCCTAATTAAATCCTATGTGTAACAAAGTGCTTAGAAAACATAATTGCTGGGCCGGCCCGGTGGCGCACTGGAGAGTGCGCCGCCTGGGAGCGCGGCGGCGCTCCCACCGAGGGTTCAGATCCCATGTGAAGACCGGTTCCCGCTCACTGGCTGAGCGTGGTGCAGGCGCAACACCGAGGGTTGCGATCCTGTTGCCGGTCCCCGGTACAGGCGCGACACCGAGGGTTGCGATCCCGTTACCGGTCAGTAAAAAAGACAAAAAAAAGAAAACATAATTGCTTATGGAAGATATTCTTCTCTGAACAAAGCTCACAAACTGGACTCAGGTTAGATGTTAAGTTCAATCAATGTGCAGTGGGAGGAGGTCCTCTTGCTATTTTATCAATGCAAGAAGAATACACATGCAAAATAGCATTTTGGTTGGAATATGTCATTTCAGGACCTGAAATAAGTGGCGACAGTGTTGGGGAGAGGGGGATTCCTCCGCTATTGCTTTCCAGCAGTGCTACATTCCACCGGAAATTGCACTTTTGGTGTGTGCACACAACACTCACAGTTGAAAGGAATTATGCACATCCCTGGCTAAATCACATTCTAATTAATCCACTTCACATTTGTGAATGAGAAATTTTCAAAAGACTGAAATTGTTTTTCCTTTCCATTAGAAATTGTTGGAATTTTCTCTCCTTTTCATAGATGTAGCTAAGGAATTACTTAATTGCTGACATTAGAAGATATGCTCTTAGGTGAATTAATTAGTTTCTGTTTTTAAAAGCACTTTATGTTTTTTTGTCTTGCAGGCACTTTTCATGTTTGTCTTCTAAATACATGTGCCCTGGTGTTCCTGCTGTCATGAGCACCTTGCTGGCTAACATTAATGCTTTCTATGCTCACACTTCAGTTTCAACAAATGTGCAAGTTTCTGCCTCAGATAGATTTGCTGCTACCAACTTCGGTGTAAGTATAATTTTTTGAATTTTAAGATTCCTAGTAGCTTATGGGAGTTACATTTTCAAGGGGTTTGGGACTCAAGATATTCTTGAAATCTTATTGTAGAAGGGACATGTTAGGGAATATCTCAGTATAAGGAGTGACAACTCAAAGTTCATTTGAAACATTTTCAGTGAAATAACTTCATTTGACAGTCAATAGAAATGTTCACTATATTGAAAATCCATATTTGTAATGATTTTTTTCCAAGGGGGAACACATACATTTTGAAAAAGAATTCTGGGATTTTATAGGGAGTTCTCTACGTATGAAAATTTGGGACTCACCATTTCTGAGTCACCATTTTTATATACAGTTCCCAGGTGAGTGTGAGCATGGCTGCCTTCTCTAGAGCTTTTTAGCACACATTTACACTTCCTGTTGGTGTCTACAGGTACTGATGGATAATAGCACATGCTCTAAGTAAGAAATGATAGGTGTACAAAGAGCCTAAGAGAACTATCTGTACCTAATTAAGGCTTTCCACCTGAAGTATTCAAAGACATCAAGAGCACATTGAAAAGTAGAAATGCAGAGATACTAAGGAGCCTCCGGAATTTGTCTTGCATCCATCACTGGAACTTATTTTCTACCAGTGCAATAAAATTGAAATCGGAAATACTGGAAATGGGATGTAAATTAAGAGTAATCTCAGTAAAGTGGTAAGAGTCTAAATCGTATAACTTCGTATAATGTATGCTATACGAAGTTATTACGCCTCGCATAACTCCATATAGTGCACACAAGAAAGTCAAAAGCTCCTTAGCTAGATACTAATCAAAATCTGTCTATAAAATACTTTACCTTGGTCATCTCTTGGTACCTTCTGACTTTTCTTACTTTCTGTTAGTGCTAACTCCTATCACTCCACTAACATTGATCTTGCTAAGGTCACGATGATGTTTATTTGTAAAGTCCAATAACTTGTTTCCTGTCTTTATAAGATTCTTACTGCACCCAACAGTGTCATCATCCTTCACCCTTTAAACCTTTTGTTCCCATGATTTCCCTGATTCCAGTTCCATCAACTACTTTTGTTAGATAAATTGACTCTTGTTGTAGTGAGGACCAGAGAACATTCCCTAGCCAGTTCAACAAAATACTGTTCTGACCAAATACTAGATCGTACAACTGTTTTGTTATAAAAATCGCATCTTGGCAATAGTACTCATCATCTTGGGATTTTACCTGTAACATAAAGCATCCTGTGTTATAAAATTGTTTTGCTTCTAATATTCTGCCTATGTACATTATGGGGAAAAAAGCCAACCTGGTGGAACATGAGTCTTTCTCTCTGTGAGAAAGAAAATGTGTTTATATGATTAATATCCATCATAAAAGCTACCTG